CCCCCCCCCGCCACGTGACCCAATGAGGTGCCACCTGAGGCAACCCCTCAGGCTGCCTCATTATAGGAATGGCCCTGAGCTCTCCTAGAGTCTTTAGCTTAACAACTTAACCACTTCTCCTGTCAAATCTCTACAACATATTTGCCTAATCAGTCTATTGTCCATGATAAGAACTAGGAGACCTAAATAACCTCTTTGAGATAACACCAGGCAGCTCAGAATTTCTATTTTTTCTTATCAACCAAGCATAACAAAATCTCATAGAAATGGTATATTTAACAAAGCAAATGTGAGCAAATAAAAGAAGTTCACAGGGTTTACATACACAGTAATCCCTGATTAACAGGATTGTGTCATCGCTGAGCCAGCACCTCAGTCCAGGAAGTAGATGCTTACCCTGGCTGCAAAAAATGAATAGATGCATTCGTATTTCATAAAGAACAAAATGTGTATTTAATATTTTTCTAGCATTGTAGCCTGCAAAGCATTGTAACAGCAATGAGTGGATTGCAGTCGCAATGCATAGGCTCCTGCATACTATTCCTGAAGCCCCAGGTGCATACCAAGGTTTGAACCTTCAGTTATGCTCCAGTGTCCCTTGAAGACTTGACGTTTTATGTTGTTTTTTCATTCACTGATCCTGTAATTGCAGACATCCCAACTCTCCCGGACGCTCCGGGAGTCTCCCGCTATTGGATAGCGGCTCCCGGCCGCCCGGGAGAGAAACACTTCCTCCCGGAAAGGTTTATCTGCTCGATCGAGCAGATAAACCTTTCCCTGTGATCGTTTTTTTTTTTCTTTTCTGACATCGGGAGCCGCGGCCCGACCGTCAGTCAGAAAAGAAACAAAAAGGCATACGAATCCATAGCTAGATTCCTATTGGCTATTGCACTTTGCAATAGCCAATAGCAAACTAGGTAATGTACCCGCCCACTGCTGCTGTCAATCAGCAGAGGGGGACCTGAATTTTTCTATCAGGTCCTCTTCTGGTGATTGAAAGCAGCAGAGGGCGGGTGCAATAGCTAGTTTGCTATTGGCTATTGCAAAGTGCAATAGCCAATAGGAATCTAGCTATGCATTCTTATGCCTTTTTTTAAATATTCTGACGACTGCAACTGTCAGAATACTAAACACAAAATCAGAAAAAAAACCTGCATATAGCAAAGAAGCTATTGCTTCCTGTGCTATCTGCCATCATTTCAGGGGGTGCTCTCTCCCAGCCCCCCTAACCCCCCTCCGGGGATGGGGGGGGGGGCGTAGAGGGCACCTCCCTGAAATGAGAAGGACACCTCCCTGAAATGGCTTCTTTCAGGTTGGGATCCCTGTAAATTGATCTGTGAATGAATGACGTGGCTGTGTGGGAGGAACGCATGGACCATCTTCTTGTTCTGTAGGTATCTGCTGCACAGCCATTCCCTTGACACCATCATCTTCTCTGATGTTGCCAGAGAAGAAGATGGTGCTGGATTATCTGTGCAGCGGTGGACCCCTACACAGCACCACTGTGTTGCTGGGTGTGCGAGAATGTTTTTTTACGCATATTCCAGCACAAAAGATAAAATGAGGGGTGTGAATTTCCCCTTTCACACCATCTCCACACTTCCACATATGCGTGTATGCGCATTTTTTACGCTTTTTAATACGTTCTTGTGTGTTTTTTTTACTTGCTCTGGAACAGAACACAATGGTGTGAAGTAGCCTTATTTAAAACCATTGGAATTACTGTATATTCATTTTTGGTAGAGGTAAAAAAACGCACCGGTCTGGAGATAGTGTGAACAAGCCCCAAGTTCCTGTTCAAACCATGGTCGTGCGTTAATTGGGATTGTATGAAGAGTAAAGTGCACTGGCCTGCGAGAGGGGGGTCGGCTCTTCTCAGCAGAGGTTCCACTAGAAACTTCTATGAATATGTCTCAGAGAGGAAGATGTTTTATATTCTGGGTACAGTGTTTAGATGAGCCAAAGAGAACAAGGACATTTAGGCTATGTTCTCACGATGTCCAGACCAGATTTGGAGCAGATCTGCAAATGCAGAGCAGTGCGTTTTTGCGATGTTTTTGCTGCATTCCATGGCTTTTTTTTAAGCTTAAGGGCGGATTCACACCATTTTCCGGACCAGATTTGGTCACAAAAATAGTGTGAACCTACCTGCAGTTCCAGTGCATTCCAGACCAGACAAATGGAAACATGCAGTATTTTTCTGGTATGGTCTGGAACGGACTGCGCTGGTGTGAACAAAGGCCAGAAATAGCATTGGGATACATTATGATGCATTTTGGGTCTGGAAACAATCTGGTCTGGTCTGGAGATGATCTTGATGTGGTGTGAATGGGCCCTAAAATGTTCTTTCAGGTGCAGTCCAGTGCGTTTGCATGCATTTTGTATGCATTTATATGTGTTCCACTGCATTCCAGACCAGAGAAAAATGAGACAAGCAGTATTTTGTTTTTGTCAGGAGCGGAACAGTCTGCACTGGCGTGAACAGAGCCTAAAATTACCATAAGGATGCTTTTTTGGTCCGGGGACAAACTGTTCTGGTCTAGACATGGTGTGAACAAGCCCTTAGGGCCCATTCACATCAAGGCTCTGCGTTAATTGCACAGTTCTGTGCAATTAATGAACGATACTGTGCAACGCACCTGCCATGTACAGCAGCTGCATTGCTTTGTCAATGGCGCTCCAAATGCACCTCCCGGACGCAAAGTGCTGCAACACGCGGCACCACAATACCGTGTTTTGTGGTGGGCAGAGTCGGCTCTTCAATTAGGCCGCCTCGCAGCCGCCTAACTAATCTAGTGTACAAAAGGGGTCTGCAGGGATGGCGTGCCAAGGGGGGGTGGTAAGACGAAATGCACATATGTCTGCAGGATTAGAGCGCTCTCCTGCCGGGACTTCACTCCATCCCCAGCCCAGAAGCAAACGCAGGAGGGGAGAGAGTCGATACATAGAGCAGCAACATGAAACAGGCAGACTCCCCGCGGTGCAAGGGGCACATCAGATCAGGCAGCTAGAACGGGACACACAGTGAACCGGGGATTGGACACCGCTTTAGACAGATTTTCCTTCAGTTGAATCCTCTTTTCAAAGTAATTTTCTGTCCAATAATTTAACAAATGATACCAGTGTTGGTGTTTTCCCATATCTGTGAATATCTGTATTTACAAATTGTTATGTTTTAGGCAGAGTGGTGCTTTTGAAAAGTGTAGCTAGAACTCATTTGAGGGTTAAAATCACATGCTAAGTATTAATCCATATTTTAGGCCTGAAAATTATTAAAACCCCTCAAACATTATATATTTTCTGAAGGCCAAGACCGAGTAGAATAAAATGTTGGCAGTTGCAAATTCTTCCGTTGCATGATATTAGCGCAACTCTTTATCAAACCCCAAAATGTTTTAAAAAATAAACTGAAGTTTATTTTAGTGGCCAAAAATACAACGTAATACCCATTTGTTTGTAAAATATAAAAGATGAGGTCACAACGAGTAAATAGATACCAACACACACAGGTTAAAAATTGCGTGCAAAATAGAAAAAAAAAGCTGTGCGGCACTAGTTTTAGGGTGTTGCTTGAAAAAAAGGTGGCAACCTTAATCAGCTCAGTGACACAGGGCCAGCGCTAGTGTAAGGCTGCATAGGCAGCCCCCTGAGGGTGGCGGGAGGAGGGTGTGTAGGCAGAAATCCTTGCACCGGCCCTGGCCCCTCCGCTGGATCTCCGCCTCGCTCTACCATAACTGATCACCACAGTTCCTTTTTATTTATCGTTTGCATCTTTTTTTATCATTGTGGTTGTAATCGGGGTCCTCACTTTGAATTTCGCCTAGGGTCTCACAAAGTCTAGAGCCGCCTCTGGTGGTGGGGATAAAAAAAAAAGTAGCGCATATGCTACTTTTTTTAACTGCAACGCATGGGAATGCAGTACCACATGATGTGGCACGCTCGAGCGCAACGCACCTGCCGCACGGTAACACCCGCTTAACGAACAGCCTTGGTGTGAACAGGCACTAAATGTCCTTGTTCTCTTTGGCTGATGTAAATCCTGTACCCCACAATATAAAACATCTTCCTCTCTGAGACATATTCATACAAGTCTATGGGGGAAAGCTGTGCTGGGAAGGAGCAAAGCCGACCCCTCCCGCAGGCTGGTGCACTTTACTCTCCACACAATCCCAGCGGTGTGTCTTGGCTCCGCCCCCTCCCAGTCTCCGCAGGCTGGTGCACTTTACTCTCCATACAATCCCAGCGGCGTCTCTTGGCTCCGCCCCCTCCCAGTCCCCGCAGGCTGAGAATGGCTTTGAAAGCGGCGCTGGTGAGCCGGTGCGATCACTGAGTGACAGGCTGCCAGCGCTCCGGTCCGAGCAGAGCACGGAGACCTCTACACCCGGCTCCACTACAGCAGCAGTAAGTAAAGGGCTCTGCCTGTGTTCTCTATTCACTTCTACTGCATTGCAATGTCTACCTTACTCTATGCACATGTAGCCATGTATTATAATACTACATAGCCTTATATATGTGTGTTCACTGCCACTTAGAGCATTGCATGGGTTGTAGTATGTGTAGATGAGGAATGCCTGTGGATGGATGTGCATTCTTCTTCTGTCTTGAATAGCCATGTAGTAGGATTGTGCTTTCTTCAACTGTGGGAGTTGTGTTGAGTCTGCAGAGTAGAAGGGATTACAAGGAAAGTGATTGGAACAATGCACTCTAGTGGCTGCATGGACTGAGATGTGGCTGCTTTATACTGTATGTACATAAACATAAATGTATGTACATGTACATAAACTCACTTGTCTTTTTCTTCACACAGGAATAAAGAGCCTGCTCTGTCCTGGAGCTGAACTCCCCCCCCCACAGCCTCCCAGACCTCTGATCATGAATTGCCGAACACAAGCATGGCTCAAAGTAACTGTCTTGCTATTCATAGCTCCAACAGTTGCTGCAATGCTAATTCCTAATGCCACACAATTAGAAGGCCTCCTGGAAAAGTACATGGATGAGGATGGCGAGTGGTGGGTAGCCAAACACAGAGGGAAAAGGGCCATAACAGAGAGTGACATGAAGCTCATCTTGGATCTGCATAATAAATTAAGAGGTGAAGTGTATCCACCTGCCTCAAATATGGAGTATATGGTAAGATCTGTTTTTTTCTTTAATTCTTAGAGTTGCTGGCACACATCTTCTGTAAGATCTGCTTTGAATCTGTTAGTATGCAGACATCAATGTGCAAAGTATTGTAACACCTACTGACTCATCAGATTTCTTTGTCCATTGATTTTACTTTTCGGAGATTTGAATAGGTGTAGGGGTTACACATCGTTGCTGTATGAACTGTCTTTGAAAAATATGACTTAGCTGCCTTTGATTGTTTCATTTCAATTTTACTGAGAACTATATGTAGAGGACAGGACATAGATCTTCAACTGGAGCCTTTCCTCTAAATCAGGGGTGGGTAACTATTGCCCTCCAGCAGTTGGGGAACTTCAAGTCCCATGAGGCATTGCAAGACTGACAGTAACGGGCATAGCTCCCAGAGGCATGTTGGTATTTGTAGTTAAAGCACAGCTGGAGGGCTGGAGTTGCCCACCCCTGCAAATACTCCCAGGGTGCCATGCTTTGTGGTGTCCTGATTTCGATAATGATGTATTTGTGAGTGTCTGTAAATGGAAAAATGTGACTGTAATCATCATTTTCACGTAGGTGATCCTTTACTACATTGCAAAGTGCATGACCTGTGACTTGGATCCAGATAGCATCTTGCAATATATGGTTGAGACACCAACGATCAAAGAAATTTGATAGGAAGCATGACTTTTTGGATTCCAAAAGCAAGATGACTCTTGGGGTCCCAGAGGTCAGGAATACTAGTTTTGGCTATAGAGTATAATCTGTAAACATTTTGTTTCAGTACATGAAATAGTGCATACATACATTTTTTTAAAGGTGCATGTTCACTTATCAGTACAGTAACGCATGGTCAAACACAGTAGTTTTAATGCACATCAAAGCACAGGTATATGTATTTTGTGGTGTCTTTCATTTTGGATGACACCTCAGTGCACATATACAGTAACCAAAAATGCACCTGCTCTACAGGACACAGATGTGAATCATCTGTATGGTGTGGTGTGGTGCAATGCATTTCTAGTGCAGGTGTGTTTTTCCTGCATTGCTTTTTTCCTTAGCAAATAAATGTAACCATTGCTACTGCAGGGATCCTTGTTGTAGCAAAGCTTGCATTTATTTGCTCATTCCCTCCAGTGTTCTCTTGAATTGTTACATTGTATCTCTTGTTGCTAAGGTGTATATATTGACTATGATCCTTAGCTCCATCTAGTGGCCACTATGCAGTATTTTCCCCATTCATTCTATGCCCTATATAAATTAACCTATTTTTACTGCTGTCTCAAATGGTAGAACATTTCAACATAAGAGAAACTGACATAAAGACATTCAATTTTGCCCAATTCTCACAGCAGCTGGTTCATTTGCACAGACGAAATGTACAGGCAGTTTTGTTGGAGGGATAGCTATGCAGATTTGTATTTCTAAAATAGACCCCTAAGTGTGTAAAGTGCCTAATGACCGCTGTAAAGTGACTAGTTGCTATGGGTATCAGTTAAGCAGAAGTTGTATCAACACCATGTGACCAAATCTGTGGAAAGGCAGGCAAAGGAAAAGTGTTCAGATGACGCAATGGTTGTAATGTACTTTTGTGAAGAGAGCGCTTCGGTTTTTAAACAAATAATTCCCTGAGAAAGACACCGAGGCTGCCATTTCTGACAGACTCATTATGCAAATGCATGATGACCTCTTGTCTCCAATACCCTTAGAAATGCATCCGTAACAAAAACACAGGTATGTACTTTTTAATCCAACACCCCTAATCTTTATTTTTGTTCTGTTTTAGAAAGTATTGAAGTATTGAAGCCAATGAGTTAGCCCAGGGGTAGGCAACTTCGGCATTCCAGTTGTGGTGAAAGAACAAAGGCCATCATACATCTGGCCTTTGGAGTCATGCCTTTGGCTGCCAGAGTCATGCAATGCCTCATGGGACTTGTTGCTCCACCACAGCTGGGGGGCGGAGGTTACCTACCACTGGGTTAGCTGGGTTCAGAAGGATTTCCTGGATCCTAATGCCAATATTTAGTAAAGTCTATACAACAAACTATTGAATATAAAGCTAATATTTTATTACACTGTATTGTATAGCATATGTTACTTAATGTTGATATGAAAAGCTATGTAGCAAAGGGTGGCATGCATAAGAAAATACAATGCTATATTTTACTTGGAGTGGCTGTGACAGATTTTAAAGTTGAAGAAGAACTCTGGGTAAAAGTTTTATTAATCATTGCAGTGGGGCTTCCCCCGCACTATCCTCTGAGCTGGCCGGCTATGACCGAGCTCCCTCCTCCCTTTTCTGATACTCTGCAGCGATAGTAAAGTATGTCCCTTGGCGTCCTCACATCCTATACACAGTGTATAGAAGATGATGACTCTTAAGGTGCCCATACACTGTGCGAGTCTCGTACGAGAATCGCGGGAAATCCCACGATCGTACGAGAATCGTACAGTGTATGGAAGGCGTGCGACCGTTTCTACTGTACGGTCGCACGTCTTCTGTCGAACAAGCAGGCTTGAAAACCCGCCGAGAATTGTACGATTTTTGGTGGGTTAGTGGCCTGCTTGTTCGACAACTGCCGAACGGGCCGATGTGCGCAGCACACCGCCCGTTTGCAGTGATCGGAAGCCCGCCCCTCACTGCGGTCATCGGAAGCCCGCCCCTCAGCAGGGCAGGCTTTTGATGATCGCAAGAACGATCTGCCCGTCCAAGATGGGCAGATCGTACGAGCTTTCAATGAGCTTACGACCATCGCAAGACAAAGGTCTTGCGATGGTCGTAAGGTGTATGGGCACCTTTAGACCACTGCAGCGGAGGGAGAGCGGGGCTCAAAGAACCGGTCTAAGGGCAGCTCGGAGGATCAGGAGGGTATAACTTTTTTTTATTTTGTTCCCTAAACCAAAACGAGCAGTTAGCCCTTGCAGTTCAGGGGTAGTCCCACTGCAAGGGTTAATAGAAAATTTGCCTGGAGTTCTTCTTTATGTTTGCACATGTAATAAAAATGAACTGCTAAGTCACTCCTTATACTCAGTTTATGTGTGTTCAGCAGTTTGCATTCTTCAGATCAACCCTTCTGTATCCTACAACTTTCCTGGATACAGCTATGTTTATTTACTGAGCAGATAGCACTAGAGGATTCTGTGGTGGAAGTGGAGGGGGAGTGGAATGCATATCGTCTGCAGCTTCATTGCTTAGAGCATCCTTATTACCCTTAAGATGTGCTTGCTACTTGATGATGGCTAGAAAACATGGGGGGCTGTAAGCATTCACATCTCGATTGAGGTGAGGGATGTTTTCTTTATGGGTCCTGTGTCTTCTGATAGCTGTGTTAGCTCCTAGCTTGGAATTTGAGGTTCCCATTAATGACCTCAATGGACTATTTGGTCAGAATAAACGCAGGCCTGCAGCTACCTTTGTTTATTTGTTGGAACTCTGCAGAACGTTTAGAACCATAGGAGCTCAATATGCATAGCTCAACTTCAAACTATATAGTCAGTGTTCCTACACCCCATCTTTTGGTTGGGTAAAGGTTGCCATACGCAACTAGAATTTTTTTATTTTAATTTAATTTAATGGTCAAAATTTGAGCGTTAGGTGGCCTTGTTAGCACCAACCAGCTTGACAAACTCCAACTGAAAATGAAAAGGAGCAGGGTGAAAATATTGTGGCCGAGCAGCAACTGTATAGCAACCCAACTATACATTTTTAGAAAGGGCTTAAAGCACAGGACATACATATTTAAGATGCTATAGATGGCATTGCACATGTGAGGATAGTACAGTATCCCTTTTATGTTAAATCCGTTTCTTTCCAGTGCCAAAGTCCTTACCTGCATCTTGTTGGATCAGTGGCTCAGAGTATTAAAGCCAGAGGGGCCAGCATTACAACAATGTAAATATCGAAGGAACAGACCCACTGAACACTCTCGGTTTTTAATCCCTTTAATATACAGCTTTACACTAAAATCTAGCTAGATTTTAACTTTTGTAACCATGTTATGTGAATATGCAAATTCACAGGGAGGAAAAAGCCAAGAATCTGTTTTTTTTTTCCAATGGTTGGACTATTAGGGGTGATTTTATATATAGAGTAGAGCATGTCCATTTTGCATTTCACTTTGTGAATTTTTACTTAAGGGAATTTTCATGTAGAGTAATTTTTACTAAAAAAAATAAAAAAATAGCTTGGCAAAGAATACCCAATCATGAGAAATGAAAAGTTAAAAAAACAGTATTTTTGGATGCACATGATTAGATGATGGAACAGCAGAGTGTCACCTCATTCACTAAGTTTCAGGAAAATTACATTGCAAAGTGAAAATTCTCAGTGAATAGCCTATTTGTCTTTAGTAATTCAACTCATTAGTGTCTTAAAAGGGTGATCACATGGATTTTGCTGAAAAGAAGTGATGAATGTGATCTCTAGTGGCTTCTTGTGTAGCTGCAGGTGTAGTCTACCTGCCTCCCTTGGACTACTGAAAGTGCGACATATCTGCAGTGGCAGCTTTCATGTTTTCTTGTGACAAGTTTCCTCCACGGCTTAGCTGTTGTATGCTAAAATATTGAAGTGTACAATCTACAGAAAAGCGATGCACTCTTGTTGTTACTGTAGCCTGTGCATACGCATTAAATGATAATTATTAAATAAATGTTACAAAACACTTTGAATTGTATATTTAACGGATTAAAGGGGAACAACTAATAAATGTAATTGTTAAGCTTTACATACCCTTTCTAGTTGTGTTGCTACAGCAGTCTTTTGTATTGTTTATTGTATTAGGTAAGTTCTTCTGCGCGCCATGTTTTGGTGCTGGTTGGTACAGTATTTAGCTAGACACTCTCTGCCCCTCTCTTCTGCTTATTTTATTTTCTCATTGCAGGCAATGTCAGGGCATAGCAAAGGCATTGTCTTGTACTTTAAAACACTGCTAAAACATTCTCTGTACTCTACTTATCTGAATAAAACTATGTTGGATTCAACTCCTGTGTCTTATTGAAGAGTTAAGGTG